TTTTTTTTTCTGTATTTTCCCCACCCCTTCCCTTTAATTCCCCCCTCCCTCCCTTGGGGTTGCCATTTTGGGGGCACGGGATTGGGAAAAGGGTATGGAGTTATGTTGTTTTCTCTCTAAAAGCAAGCGTTCAAAATAAAAACCACAAATACATTACTGTGGAACATGCAACAAGAGACCTATAGTGGCTCTTAAAACATCACAAGAATATTAAAAAGACACAGATTTCCTTAATATAGACTAAACAAGGATGGCAGAGACTTCCCTCCCCAAACAATGCTGCTCAGTAATTTATTGAGAACTGATACGCAAGACACTATAAAGTTTTTAATCTTCACTAACAGAATCATGTTAATGTATTCATTTGTCCCCATTTCTTAAAAAAAAAATTATTTGTTTCCACTTGATACGGTGAAGGAAAATATATATATATATATATATCCACACTGAGGGAGATGCCTGTCAACACCTCCCCTCCTGGTGGGCTTCTTCGGCCACAGCTCCCAGAACAGCCTTGCTGGAAGTTGCTCAGGATATAAATGCTTTAACTCCCACCCCCAACAGCTCAATGCAACAGAATCTGAGACAGATCCCGGTTATATAAACCACGCCAAGAAGACAGGGCCTGTCTCTAGCACATTCTCTCGGGGGAGTCCGGTACCCCTTCCCAGACACGACTGCAAAAGGAAGGGGTTAACCCCACGGCAGGCCCGTGGTTTACTTTACATCCAACAAAGTGCACTGCAGACTTGACTGGACTGGAATGAAGAGACTTTTCTGGGGAGGGGTTTACGGGGACGCGCTGCGGGACCTGTCTGGCTTGGCTTCCAAGCCGCTGACCAACCGCTGGATACTCTGCAGTTCGCTGGTGGCCGCCTCTTTCTCCGAGCAGAGTTTGGGCGACAAGGACACGGAGCTGGAGGAAAGAGTGGAGGAGCGGCTGTTGAGTTCCGAGCCCGAGTCCACGGCCACGGAGGCCGGGCTGGCGGCCAGGGCGGCGGCTTTGCCGTCCAGGGGCCCCGCGGCCGCCGCCATGGACGGCAGGGCAGTGCTGAGCAGGCTGCTGCCGTCCGGGACCGGCACCGGGATGGAGTAGGGGCTGTAGCGCAGCCGCGGGCGCATGGCGTTCAGGTTGAGGAAAGGGTGTCGGTGCACCGAGCTGGAGGCAGCTGCGGAGGACGCGGCCGCCGCCGCGGCCATGTACGTGTAGGGATAAGGGAACAGGCTTCCGAAAGGCGACATGGCCAGGCCCTGGGGAAGGGAGAGAAACGCACGGAGCGAGTCAGGGGCTGCGGGGCGGGGAGAAGCCACGCTCGTCCATCTCCATCTCCTCCCTCCCGTCCTCCACTTTGGGCAAGCTATGAATCCCTTTTTCTCTTGGGAAGGGCAGCAGGAGGAGCACACTCATACTTCTCTTAGGTTCAGATCGTATCTATCACTCTAGGCCGAGATACTTAACTCCCAGTGCCTCAATTTCCTTATATGAAAAACAGGGAAATCATAAGTAACTTGTACTTATTGAGGACTTTGTGGATATAAAATGAGCTAATGACTGCAATATGCTACATGCCCTGCCTGGCCCACAAGAAGGGTTGGCTGTTGCACCTGTTAAATAAGACTCAGGCTACCCCACAAAGGTGGCTGAGGGAAAACCAGAGGGCATAAATTATTAGACAAAATATTTTTTGTCATTCCTGACCACCTTCCCTAGCCCTCCTACCCCAATCCTAGAAGTTTCTGAAATGAAAAACAAAAACAAAAACAAAAACAAACCCAGAGAAGATCTTAAGCAAAAGGAAATTGGGCTGGGAGTAAAAGGGTGTTTGTTATAAACAAAGATAAACAAATTATCCAGTCTGATAGGCTGGTATTACAGGTGAGAAATTGAAGCCCCAGGGGTTCTGGAATTCACTGAGCTACTAAGTGGCAGAAACAGAACTTAAAATGTTAGGATCCTGGCCTGGGCCAGTTCTTTTTGTTTCATGCCTCGAAGTCCCATTAGCGTTTGCTCAGACAGCACCTCACCCGACCTATCACCTGCTCTCCTATGACAGGGTCTCCAGGAGAAGCCAGCAGAGGAGATGGGAGGAACTGAGAAAGGCCAGAGCCAACCCTTCTCTCAGCTCCCTCCTTCCCAGAGAAGGGGAAGCCAGTCCTGTCTCTTGGCTCACTGAAGGGAGATGAATGCGCTCAGACAAAACAGAAGGCAAGAGTGTGCACAAAACTCCATAGAACCTTTTCGCCAGGTTCAGAGCATTTCCAGTGGCCTGAGACTTCTCTCCAGCCACCCCGTGCCCCAACACAGCTGTCTGTGAAACACACGCAGGCTGCCAGGCCTGCCACAGCCCCTGCTGTTCCCTCTCCTCTGACATTTCCCATGTGTGCACAAACTATTAACCCTTTGAGGAATGGGCTGGCCTGCTTGGGGTAAGGGGTGGGGGAGAAGGGCATTGAAATGGGAGGAAATGCTGGAAGAGTGAACTCCCACCCAAGGAGTCACTTCCCCTCCTCAGGCGTTGGTCTCCCTCTTGTCTAATTCCTGGGGAAGAGTTGGATATGAGTCACTTAAGAGACATTTCAGCTCTGAAGCTAAAATCAAAAACTCTGAAAGAGGCCCAGGACTCAGACAGCTTGGGATAGAGACTCAGCTCAGCTATTACCAGCTGTGTGACCTTGGATGAGTTACTCAACACCTCTGGGCCTCTTCCCCTTCATTTTTAAAGTGGAGGTGATAATAGTACCACTGAAGGGTTAGATCAAATGAGTCAGAATAGATTAAGGAGTTAGAAGAGAGCCTGGTAGAAAGTAAGCGCTGTGTGTAGCTGCTATCATGATGGTTACCTCCCTACTCTGCTGGAAATAACCCTTAACTTAGGAAACATTTTTCCTTTTATGGGGAGGAGGGGTGAGGTCGTGATGACTCAATGAGAACAGCCTTGCACCTAGTAATGGCTCAATAAATATTATTATTACTATTACTACTACTATTATTATTTAAAGCTATTAGGCAAGGAGACTGGGTGAGGGTTTGGTATCCAAGGGCAGGAAACTAGAGCGAATGAAGGGGGTAGGGGGGCTGGAGAGGTCAGGAGGAAGGGTAAATACCTGGGAGGCCAGTACGTGCTGCTGGAGGTGGAAGGGCAGGGTTGCCGCGGACGCCCCGGACAGTCCCTGCGCCGCAGCGGCAGAGGCCATGACCGTGGAATCCAGACCCGAGACGCCAGTGGAGGCCCCGGACACGGTGGCCAGCAGGGGCCCCATGCCGGCCGCCATGCTGGAGAAGGCGCCCCCCATGGCGAACTGGCCCGGGTGCAGGAACAGCGGGTGCCCGTTGAAGAACTGCTGGCCGGCCAGGCCAGGGGCGAAGCCAAGGCCGGGCAGGGGGCCCTGGGCCAGGTGCGCGGTGGCCGCGTCCGTCTGCACGGTGAGCGGCGCGAAAGCCTCCTTGCCCGGCAGCACGCGCGCCTCCTCGACCTTGGACGTCGCTGCGCCCTCGCGGCCCGGGCTCCGGCGCTCCTCTGCACCCAGGCCACGGGTGCTGGATGAGATGGTAGCCGGGCTGTGGCGCGAGTCAGGCGACGCCTTGTCCAGCCGCCCGCTATCCCGGGATCGGCCGCCGGACTCGGCCGCGAAGAGGTGCGCCTTGACCGCCGGGCTGCCCTTGTCTCGGCAGGGCTCCTCCGATGTGGTGGTGGAGATTTTGGCCACATCGCAGGCTTCCGCGCCGTGCTCCTCTTTGCTTTCTGCCTCAGCGTCACTCTCACCCTCGCTGGGACACAGATCTACCATAGGAGAAGAAAGGGCCAGTGAAACTCCTGTTGCCAAGTTTCAATCCCAGCTCTGCAGATTACTAGCTGTGTAACCCTAAACAAGCTCCTTAACTTCTCTGCACCTTAGTTTTCTCATCTGCAAAATGGGGATAATGATACCTAACAACTATTCTGGAAGATTCAATAAGCTAATAATGAATTCAAAGTACTTAAGTAGAGTAGGACCTTAGGACACCTCCCCAATCCGTAGCTCTTGTTATAATGACTGTTGCATTTTTTTTTTTTTTTTACAAACATTGAGTTCCTACTGTGTCAGACAAAGCCTTTACAAGCATTGCTCCATTTGATTGCAAATTGAATTTTAAAAATAAAACCCAGGGCTGGCCAGTTAGTTCAGTTGGTTAGAATGTCATACTGATAACACCAAAGTCCAGGGTTCCATCCTTGTATGGGCCAGCTGCCAATAAATAAATAAATAAATAAACAAATAAATAAAATCTAACTTATTCTGAAACTCACTGCTGGATTCCATTTACTATGGGAGTCTTTGTTCAGTGACTGATGGAGATCAGTACCTTCCACAAATTTGTAAATTATTTTACAAAGATTTGTTTGGAGAGAATCCTGATATCTGAAGTGGTAATGGCAAACATAGGCACCCCTCCCCCAACTCACTACTCAATTGAGGCTTCTCTACATTTGCCCCAGTCCCTGCAGGCAGAGAGATGGGTGACAGGCAGCCCACTAACTTCCCTCCCCAACAATCATAGATTCTATTTTTGCTTTTACCATCTTCTGTGGGTGTCCTACCAGAAAAATAAATAAGTAAATAAAAGGATTCTATTTTATGTTTAAAGCTCAAATGGATTGAAGATGTAAAGGGCTTTTCATTTTATTTCGCTTAAAAACAGGTTCGTTCCCGTTGAGAATGTGTCTTTCCAAATAAATAGTGCTTGCTCTTTAAACACAGGAAACCGACTGGGGATCTGAACCATCTCATCCACTCCCACCCCCCACCCAACTCCCAAAGCAGATCCCCAGTTCTCCGCCTCCTCTCCCAGGTCAATTGTTGCTCCATGACTGGACGTTTTTTTCTGCCACCTTCCCTGTTTCAGGTGACAGAGAATCCCTCACCTCATCTTGACACATTTTATCCCAGATTTCAAAGATGGTGAAAACTCTCCTGGCTGGAAAGAGTTGGGGGAGGCAGACAGACAGAAAGAGAGAGAAGTGCTTCAGGTAGCCCCCACCAAGAGGTGATATACAAACTGACATCTCCTCTACCCCAGCCAAATAAGGGTTTAGAGGAAGAGGTTCTGAGCTTTCCCTATAGTACCTTAGGGAGGGGACCAGGTAGCCCTTTCTGAATTTTGGCTCCAGTTTACAGATATGTAGAAGGAATCTGTAGTATTTAAAGGGCAAGGCCCCTGGTCAGTGCCTCCCTCCCACCAACTCTTCCAGGCCACGATGACCTGGAGTTGAGTCACCCCAGATGTGACCAGGTTTACCTTTGAGGTTGGATGTCCCTACAGTGGAGACTGCTGGAGAAGAGGCCTGAGCAAAACAGTTGAAGGCTGCCTGTTCGCTTGAAGACTCATCTGAGGTCCCATTCTCCTTTTTGTGTCTTTCATCAAACACTCTCATGGACTGCAGGGTGAGTTGTTTTCTGTGGCAGAAGCCCACACTCAACATTACAGAATGTAACGTACATTTCCCTTCTTTGTTTCCCTTACCCTTTCCAAAGCAGCATACAAACACCTCACCCTGGCTGCTGCCCACAGACAACACTAATTCTCTGAGATCTGCCTGCCCCAGGGCAGCCACACAGACCCCAGCATTGTTCTTGACCCTCTAACTGAGCTGAAGAGTGTGGCGCAGGAGGAGGGAAGAAGGAGGAAGGCTTCAGTTGAGTTCATTCAAGATTGGGGTTACATTAGGAAAGGGCATTTGCTTGGGCTGTGAAATCTTGTTTAAAAGCAAGAGAAGAGGTTGGAGCTAGTCAGAGACAGCTGAACTGCTGGCCTTATAGCAGAAGAAGAACTGGCTGCCCAACCCTTTGAACACAATGCTCTCTGTCCCCAGCCTAGCAAACTCCTGGATGGTTGCTAAGATTGCAAGGAAGCAGTTATTCCATGGTGCACTTTACTGTACTTGTTTCACCAACACATCAATTGGAATAAAAATCTATTTTGATGTTAGAAATTGTCTTTTAATGTCACCCTCAAGGGGATAGGTTAAAATTTGGTGTGATTTTCAGGATTTTAGAGATTCTTTGAAAGGGGGTGGGAGAGAGGAAAGCTTTCTTCATATATTCCCCAGCTGTCTACTTAATGCAAAATGATACATGTACGCACGAAGAAGGGAGGGAGCCATGGATTTCTCAAGGGACCCCAGCTGTGTCTGTTAGTATTTAAAAGACAAGATTGCAAAAATTCCAAAGCATTTTGTGAATGACTTGGACCTTTCTTGGGACCTGCCCAGGATGAATTTAAATTAATTAGGAATTAATAGGTATCCCTATCTAATTTGTTATCCCTGATACTTTTCTTCCAGGGACAACTGTGGCATAGCCTAGTTAATTTCCTTAAAGGTAACCAGTCAGAGGTAGATAAAATACTGCGTACTGGGTGTACTGACATGGGAAGCATGTGGCAGGCAGGAAGTAAACTATCTTCTACCTACTTCTGACACTGAGAGTTGGAGCCTAGACAAGTGATTTTTCTATTATCTGATAAATAAATAATTGTCTCAACTCACCTTTTTTCCCTCCTGCCATTTCCAGTATCCCGGAAACCTTTTGCAAAAGGGTTGTTGTCTATTTTTAACTGAGTTATCTAGAGAAGGAGACAGAAGGAAGATAGACATATTAGCCCAATTTTCTAGAATGTTTTGGGGGTGTTTCCCCCAACTCAATAGTCTCCTAGAAATCTGACTGCCAACAGAAGTCATATGGATATACCAGATTAAAGAGAAAAAGATAGAAAATAATGTAGAAGTTTGGAGGGGCGGAGGGAAAAATCAAAGGAAACTGTACTCAGGCTTGTATCTCCTATAGGAGGTCAAACCAGGGATTACAGGCTGAAATTATCCAAAGAAATTCTTTTCTTTGGGCAGCCAGACAGCTTGGGTTTAGAAATAGAAACATCGTCAAAGGTGTCAAGAGGGACAACCTGTAGATCTTAAAATTATGCTTTCATTTTGATTTTTTTATACAGTGCAATTAATCATAAAATGTTATGACATACTCCCCTGCTTACACACACACACACACACACACACACACACACACACACACACACACACACACAGCATATACTCCAACCCTTTCCATGAATCTAACAAAATGATTTATGGGGTTTTGCTACCCTTGTGCTGGAATGAGTTTGATTTTTTCTGGGGGTGGAGGTGGTAGTTTGAGGAATTACGATATTGACAATTACAGATTTAAAAGGACTGAGTGACCACTGGAAACATTTGTTTTCATTTATACAATCTGCCACTGCCATTTCGGGAGAAGGCCTGTGGCCTCTTTGTCTGATCAAATATGCTACATTTTTACATCATATTAACAATTTAGTTTCACAGGATGCTAGGTCTAGAGGGAGCATGCATTTTGCATGCCAAGGAAAAATGCCATAGCATGTAATCTTTCAAATCCCTTTCCTTTGGGGAGGAAAAAGTTATATATACAGAGTTATTCAGAGGTAGAAAAAACGTTCCTTGGTTGGATTCTTCTTCTTGAAGTAAGCTGCTTGTATGCAAGACTTCAGGTTTTGCAGGGAGAGGAGGTTATGATGTTAGTCCCCAGACTAAGAAAATTTATCTGGGACATTCCCATCATAGGTCCAGAGGACCCATTGACAGAAATAATAAATTCAAAATGCAGGGTGTTGTCGGGTGAACCAGACTCTCATTGAAGTCCAGGATTCAGATGTTGAAAAGCAGGAGTCATCAGTCCCTGCCCCCGCCCCCATAACTGTCTGCTCACAGCCAAGCTGGGGACTGGTGAATCAGCAGCAAGGGTCACTTTGTCTGTGTCTCTGCACTCCACGCCCATGACCTCCAGGCCACCACGACTATAGATACCAGGTGCTAGCCCATCTAAGGGTCCTTCTAATCTTCAGTTTTAGGCCAGAGAGAGAGAGAGAGAGGGAGAGAGAGAAAATCATGAAATAGTGACTTTGGCCACCTCAACTCAAAAGCCTCAGACAACTTGATTAGCTTGACCCTGTGATCAGGATAGGTTTTCCCAACCACACACACACACACACACACACACGCGCGCGCGTACACACACGCACACACATACACACATCATAAAAAACACAGCAGCATAAAAGGTAATAAAAACCAGACCAGCTATTCAGGATTTCTGGCTAGGGGAGAAAAGCTGATCTCCACTAGGATTCTCCTCCCAGGATTCTGAATGGCTTTTGCCTTAAATTTTTAGCTGGTTCCTTTTGAACCTGATTTCTTGATCCTTCTTTCTGAAGGGGAAGAGGATGAGCCTTAAAACAAATAGGACAAAGCCTGGGGGTGTGGTGGGGGGTGGGTATCAGTGCAACAGTGGTTTATAAGAGCTTCTCACTGAAAAATTAGTTAAACATTTTAAAATTCAGCATTTGATTTCTAACTGGTCGAGAGTTTTTTTCCTACCAGTGCTCCTTTCTCCAAATGCTTCACCAAAGGCCAAATCACAAAAGAAAACTCAAAATTCTCATCCCAATTCTCTTGCAACTTTTTCACCCTCACTCAAAGCAGCTTAAAGGGGAGGGGAAAATATCACCCTTAAAAAGAAAAGCCCCTGTGGTTACCTTATCATTCTGGTATGCAGTCACAGCGATGAATTCGGTTTCGGGGAATAAGTACGTCCGAAATGTACTATAAGGAAGTTTCAAGATGTCATTTGCCCTTACAATGTGGAACCGGGGCTGGTATTTGTGCATGGAGTTCAGTATAGTCTGCAGGGGCACGGAAGAGGAGACACACATAAAAAAAGGGTTTAGCAGGACAAACGGGATCTTAGAACCCCTGCCAGGCTAACATCTTCCCCACCGCAGGGTACCACGCTTGTACCGAGCCCACCACCTCGGAGCACCTCCTTGGGCACATTTTTGCTCCACAGATGTTATCTTCTGGAGAATACAAATTGTTCCTCAATTTCCAAAGGGTCCCCCCCACCCTCACCATCTAAGGTTGAGTCGTACCTTGAACCCTAGCCTACCTGAGTACCAAAACTATAATTCCCCTGCCACGTTGCGTGATCACTTGGGAAGGCCAAAGTCTTAAAAGATAGAGAAAAACATGCATTTTAATTTACAAAATGATTCAGTACTTTAAGCGCCCACTAATTGACGAGCCCAATCCACTTAAAGCCCTGAAAGGCTGAACTCTAGAGAGGAATATTTATGCCTTAATCAAATCAAGGGCTTCAAATGCAATTCCTGCCCGCTGAAGATATTTCCGCGCCATTCACGTCTTCCTGGGCCTAATCTTTCTGCTTATTCCTCGCTTATCACTCTGTTTATTTTATTGAAATGTTGGGGAGGGGTAGAGGAAGGGGCAAAAGGTCCCTTGCCTGACTTCTACAAGCAATCCAAATCTTCTAAAAGTCTCTTAGCATTCTCTCTCTGAATCCAAATATACACTCCCCCGCCAACACACCAATTTTATACTGAAGATCTAAGCTTCATTTCTAGTAAACCTGACTTTCACCTAAGCCCAGTTCTTTTTTAGTAAAAGAAAAGAAATTCACACCCTTTAACCAACACAGTCAAGGCTCCAAAATTTGAACTTTCCCAAAGAAATAATATGGCTGGTTTCAAAATAGAAGTATTATATTTTAAAACAAAGCTAAGCTTTTATGAACACATAGCTTCGAAACTGATTTTAGCTCTTAACTATTGGATTTTAACTTCACTGTCAGGCCAGGCAAGGACCTAGAATCGGTATAGAACGTGAGCTGGTTAAGTTTTCTTTTCCCCATTTCTTTTAGAACGCCAGGCCTTCCATTATCCCGAGAGAAACACCCCGGAATCTTCTCTCCGGCTCTGTTCAAGTTTGCTATGGTTAGCAACAGAGAGCACAGGAGAAGCACGACCCGGAACTCAGGAGTTTACGTGGAATGGGGAAGCACTGCCTTTGATACAGTGAAGAAAGTGAACATTTTACTGAAGGGATCAATGAAACTTACAAATCCATGTTTGTCCGAAATGTTGTTGGTGAGTTTCAGTTTGTGGAAAGTGACGACTTTGGACATCCACTGCTCCCCGGTAGCGGGGCTGTCTGGGTGAATGTACATTCTCTTTGGCATTTCGGGGTCAGCCTTACCCGCCACCATCCACCGAGAATTGTGAAATTTATATCGACAGTCATCAGCAGCTATAATGTCCATCAATAAAATGTATTTGGCTTTTTTATCCAGCCCAGAACATCTCACTTTAAATGGAGGAAACATTCGTCTACAATAGGAGAGAATGGAAAAGAAAAAAGAAAGATAAAACACTCAGAATTTTGGGTTTGATTTTCTATTTGTCCTAAAATATTTAAGCCGAGTTAAAACTTTATTTTGTGACCGACAAGCTTATATTTTTCACCATAGAGCAACTGGGTGCAAAAGTGGTTTCTTCCACAACAGAAATATTAAATATGCTCAATTTCTCTATATTTAGGTGTTCCAAGACTCAAAACAAATAAATCGTGGCACTGCATTTATGTATATTGTCTAATAACTTAAAGGATTTTTTTCTCTGTACAACTGTACAGATTGCCCTCTTCATAGAAAAATTCTTGCCTATATCGTTTTCTGTGGATGTCTAGTTCTAAAGAGCTTTGGGTAGGATTTTAGTGAAGTGCAGTCAGTGAAGGCTAGAATTTTCCACCACCCATTAATGAGAAAATGTTAAACTTATTATGAAAATAAAAGTTAAGTCGTACCCCTCCCTGCTGCAGAATAGCAATCCCGCTGCTGGCGAAATGAAACTGGACTCAGCGAGTTCTCAGAATGAATTTTGCAGATTGGGGTAGACTCCCGGGCCTGATAACCCATCTGCCTACAGAGCAGCTAGCCACATTCTTCCACTCCTTACGGCAGTTCAAAACTGCAAGATTGTGCCACCAAATTGCTGTTAATTTCACAGAGGTGTTGGCATTCTGCACTGGACTTAAAAGGAAGCACTTCGCTGTGAAACTGCCTAAATGTCTTGTGTATTTGAGGAGGATTTTATGCTAAACTTTGGCCAAATTTAGTTTGGAAGGAGACAGAAAGCTGAAGACAGCAAGAGGAGAATTTTATTTTTATTCTTTCAACTTTATGTCTTTATAGACATCAATGCCATTTTTAAAAAAAAGGTGATTTTAAATGATAGTCATAGGGTCCTCTCTTTGTGGCAAGTTTTGGTCAGACAAGAACCTTTAAACATTATGTAAAATATAATTAATATTTACACATAAAGAAGCAGTGTGTGTCTCCTTACTGGCTTTTTAGGTCTGCAAACATAATCTTAATTATCCAAAATTGCCTGCCGAACTCTCCCTCGGGTTACAGAAGTGGTGTAGGCAAACAAATCAAAACGCCCTTCGATTTCTTTCGACCTGGCAGCGGCAGGCTCAGGCCCCCTCCAGACCCAGAGGCCAGGCTGAAGGGCAGAAAGGGCGGGGAATTAGTGTCAGGCCTCCCACTACCACACAAAAGAGAAGAGCTTTAAGCTTTTTTCTCTGAGGACAAAATAAAACAGACAAAAACACAACATCAACAAAGAAATAAGGACGTTCCGAAAAGGTTTGGAGTGAACTTCTCAGAGTGGGGTGGTTTCTTTGCTTCCTGCAGGGATGTCTATGCTCCACTGAAAAAAAATCTGTCTATTCTGTAGGGAACCCAGGAGGCAGACCTCTGTAACACCTATGCAGACGCTCAGGTAAGCTGAAATTTTCTGCCACTAGGGCAGGGCCGGAAAGTCTCTGTATACACTTCTAGTGGAACCAAGTTTTCGTCCAAGCCGTCATAACAGGCAAAACGACTGTTCTGGGAGAAGAGAGATAAACGGAGGAAAAAACCTCCAATAGCTTGGGGGATGGGGTCTCCACTGCTTGCTTACCTTCCCGACTTGGTAATGACCATCTCGGTGCCCCGCTTGTGGAATTGATCCCAAAGTTCTTTAGCCTCCAGGTGCACCTTGGGGTCGTCCTCCACCTCTTCTTCAGGCTCCATGGTTTTCAGAGGCCTCAGATGCGCCTGGGGCCCCAGGGACGAGAAAGGGATGCCGGTCTCGGCCGCCCCCACCAATTGATCCATGATCGGCTTGGCCAAGGCGCCGGGCAGCGAGAGCGCCGCCGCGCCGTTGGGAGGCAGTGTCAGCGCGGGGAAGAAGGGCGGCTGGTGACCCAGCACCGCGCTCATGGCGAAGTCCGGCGCCCGGTGAGGTAGGAACGGATGGTAGGCCATGCTTGTCCCAGGAATGACCGGATCTCTCATGGAGAGGCTCATCCACTCCAGGCGGGACGCTTGGCTCCAGCCGGGGACAAGTCTGCAGCTGCTGTTTTGTTTTTGATTTTTTTGTCTGTTTAACAACAGCTCATAGTTTTGTTTTGTTTTGTTTTTAAAAAAAAGCAAAAAAAAAAAAAAAAAAAAAAAAAAAAAAAA